TTTTTTACTTTGTTTTAATGTTCGTTTGTTTGTTTATTTATTTATTTTTGAGAGAGAGAGAGAGAGAGAGAGAGAGAGAGAGAGTGCAAGTGGGGGAGGGCCAGAGAAAGAGACACAGAATCCGAAGCAGGCTCCAGGCTCTGAGCTGTCAGCACAGAGCCCAAGGCAGGACTCAAAGTCACAAACCACAAGATCATGACCTGAGCCAAAGTTGGACGCTTAACCAACTAAGCCAGCCAGGTGCCTCCTTAACAGGTAAATTTAATTCATTTACATTACTACCCTTGATATATGATGATCCTTGGTATATACCGTCTCTTTTTAAATTTTTTAAAAAAATCTTTATTTATTTTTGAGAGAGAGACAGAGTGTGAGCAGGGGAGGAGCTGAGGGGAGGGAGACACAGAATCAGAAGCAGGCTACAGGCCCCGAGCTGTCAGCACAGAGCCCGATGTGGGGTCGGAACTCACAGAACCGCGAGATCATGACCTGAGCCAAAGTTGGACGCTTAACCAACTGAGCCACCCAGGCGCCCTGATACCATCTTAATTATTGTTTTCATTTACCGTATTTTTTCTTTTTTCTTGTTCATTTCCTGCCCTTAAAAATCTTATTTTGAATTTACGAATTCACCTTTTATCTATCAGTATTAATATTTTAACTGGTAAACTTGAATCTAACTATATGGAAATTAGAAACATTTAACTTTGATCACACTTTCCCATATGCTGTGTTAATGTTGTCTATAACTTAGTTTCTTATTTTCATTTTATTTTCTGCCCCTTAATTGGTCTCTCTCTTGTTTTTGAAAAATCAATTTCTGTTTTATATTTTTAGTAGTCTACTCAGTGAGAGTTTGTGAGTAGTAAGCCTTCTCTGTCTTGATTGTCTGAAAAGCTTTTTAATTTTGTTTCTTCAGCAATTTGGATTTTCTCATTCTATTTTACATGTGTTTTTACTTCCCTTTTATAAAATCACTTACTTTATCTTCCTTGTATTCTGAGATGTTTCATAAGCTCTTCATTCCAGTTTACTAATTTTCCCTTCAGCTTTATCTAAAGTTGCCTCTGATCCGATTTTTAACCTCCCCCTGAGTTTTAACTTTCAATTATGTTTACCTTTCTAGGCATTCCCTTTGATTTTCCCCCTAATCTGTTTACCCTTTTTTACATATTCTATTCTTGCATTTGTGCTCATATTCCTTTTAAAAATACAGTTTGTGTTTTTCCTTTTATTTACTTTATAATCTCATTCAGATTGCTCTGTGTCCATGTTATGAGAACACTAACTCACTTAATTCTGATGCATGCTCTCTCTTGCAGCAGACTGTTCCCTTGGGTGCTGTGAAACTGTATTGTAATCTCATTTTCAGGCTTGGGATACTTTTGTCATAGACCAATGCACTTGGGTTGTGGGAAAAACTCAACAGAATGGCTTGTTGTTTGCTTCTGCTGGAACCCTAGAAATTTCACCAATTATGTTAATTACTTATCTTTTGTTTTTTAGTCCTTTAGTACTATTGTATCTTAGATTCCGTGGCAGATCTGGGTGTAGGATTGTGGTTGTACCGTGGGTTTTATTTACGTGAAGTCTTAATTTTTATTTTCTCTGCCATGAATTTTCCTGTGGCTTCCCTGGGATGGTGGGTAAAAAAAAAAATCTAGTTATTTTTCATGGTGGGAGCAGTCATTTATGCGACCCAGCTTTATTTAGGGCTCTAGCTTTCAACTCTTGGCCTCTGGCTTTTGCAAACCCAGGGCCTCTGCCTCTGTGCCAAAGCTAAGACTCTAGCTCCCAATCCTTAGGATCCACACCCCTGTCCAATGTCCTTCTGGATTATTCTGGTATCCACTCATGCAGTTACCCCTCTCATTTTGAGTTCCTACTTTATTTTGAGGATTTCTCTTTCTTTTGAACTTGACTCATTCTCTCTCACACACATATACAGACACTCCATATGTGTGTATATGTATGTCCTTTAAGTTTTAATATTTTACCTAATATTTCTACATATTTTGAGTCAAAGGTACTTGTACTGATGGAGATGATTAAGGAAGAAATGTGACTGAATATGACTATTTTGAACACATTTCTGAATAAACATTGAGAGTAATATATTGTATATATGCCACATTGTTCTTAAGTATCAATTTGGCTTTTAAAATAAACTACCCTATATTATCTAGGCTTCTGAATTCTACTGATCTCTATTATGCACTCTGAATTTCTCCCACCTAGCTGTGTATGTCTACATATATATCAGAATCATCTGTATACAACTTCAACTAGGAATACAATTTCAGAGGTTGTATTGTATACTTTGTTGAGTGGTAACTAGCTTTATTTTGAGATAATATTGCAATATTGTTGAAAGGCTATTAATGCATTGAAGACACTAATTCTCCTAAAGTAAATAAATGCAAAATTATAATTCTTAATTGTCAAGTACAACTTTTTGGCTATCTTTTCTACTTCCAGTCTATCTCTTTCTTTCTTTTTAAGTTTATTTATTTTGAGAGAGAGAGAGAGAAAGTGTGCATGTGCGAACTGGGTGCGAACTGGGGACGACCAGAGAGAGAGAGAGAGAGAGGGAGAAAGAGAATCTCAAGCAGGGCTCTGCACTGTCAGCACAGAGCCCCATGCGGGGCTCAATCTCACGAACCAGGAGATCATGACCTGAGTTAAAATCAAGAGTTGGACACTTAACCAACTGAGCCATCCGGGCTCCCCATCCTATTTCTTAATTATAGACCATGTCTCTCTCGCAAGCTTGGTACTTTCACTATTAGAAAACCTTTCTTTTTCAAAATGAGTGCCAAGAGCAGTATTATTTCTTTGCAAGATTTTGGTGCAATGTTATGCCAGAAACACCCAGCTTACTGGTAAGTAGAAACTGTAAGTTTCACTCTAAAATACTATAATTACACAGTGTAGCACTATCTTTGTGGTTTTTATCACTGAGGAAATCAATAGTACAGACTGCAATTTTCTGTTGCACTAGAGTAGATAGATATAGGAGAGCAGATGAGTTTGACTTAGTAGGGGCTGTTACTATAGTAAATCAGAATTGTAAAAGGAAATAAACAGGCTTTTTTTTTATCTGATTTTAACCCAAACACTCAAATGTTTCACTCTAACAAGGGATCTGATAAAATTAAAAAAAAAAAAACAAACAAAAAAACCAAACAACAAAACTCCTCATGTAGCCTTGTTCTTGTTCCTGATTTACATAATCACTTCACTGCCATCATTACTGGCAAATACCCAATCATTAAACAAAAGGTTCTATAAATGCCATAGGAAACAAGCTAGATGCTAAAGGGATGCTATGTCATGAAAGTCTTAATTTGAATGTTTCATGTTTGTATTTGACAAATGTCATAATTTCATACGTGTCATTTTGTGTAACCAATTAAAGGCCCCAAGTTCCATCTTTAAGCATTGTATTTCTGGTTAAATAGGTTGCTTTGGGAATTTAAAAATATGCACAATAGAAGCAGTAGGTGTTAAATCACCCAAAGTGGAAATATAGAATTGAGAGAGGGAGAAAAGGAAAGAGATGAGAGAGAGACACACATGGAGAGAGAGTTCAAATATTGCCACCTTTTGATCACACGAATCAATTTGTTCACCACTAAAGGAAGGATATTAAATTATAAAAATATTTAAAAAAGAATGATGTGGTGTGTGCTATGTTTTTATTTTAATCCTCAACTCAAAGTCACGCCTAGAGGAACAAACCCTGTATCTCTAGATAAATGGTTAGGAAAACAGCTATATTCTTTTCATTCTTGTATTTCTAACACAAACTTGGTGAGATGCACGGTAGCAGTCTGCAAATCATAACCAGAAGCTGTGCTTTATACTCAGCAGCAGCCAGTCCTCAAAGGATGCGACATACTGTGGACAGAAAAATAAGAAGCCTGTTGGATTTTTATTCTGTGTCAGCAACATAATTACTTATTTGTATTTTAAGTAAGGTTTCTTTTTAAAGGTCCTTGTGTGTATAGACCCTGGAAGGTAAACACAATTTCATAAATGTGGCGAAAGTGAAATATTTTATTCTTAAACGACAAACACAAATACATCTACACAAATATATTTGGTTGCCTGTATTCTGCAAGCAATTTGTAATGTGTTATAAGAAATGTCAACATCTGGCCGCTATTAGTTAAGATCCAAGGATAGCACATTGTTTGATCCATTCAGCCGCATAGGCGTGAGATCAGAACAATTCTTAATACCTTACTTCATGGTCATGTAAGATGGTAAATCTTGCACATCTAAGGGCTCCTCCATTAAAGGGGTAAGAGTTTGCAAGTATGGACATCAAACTATCAACTCATTAAGAAAATCTAAGAAACAAAGCCATGAAAACTGGGGGATATTTCTCCTATAGCACCCATTATATTCCTGGGCCAATCTTCTACACCTGGTTTTAAAATTTTTGTTTTATTAACATTATTTTCTTTGAACGAACATTAACACAAACCTCAAATTTTCAAGGGCTTGTGGACATGTTCCCACCAAGCATTTGTTGTAAATTGGTAAATTGCAGGAACATTTCCTGTCCTTTAGATATATTTTACATTCATGGACACTGGTTCAGTAATGGCCATGAATTAGGAATAAATAGCTTACTTTTTTGAAGTCATGTGATTCTACTATGAGTTGCTTAGGGTGCCCTTTTATGCATTCTAATAACGCTGAGTAATGGCTCCCAGGTCTGGAAAGAATGATAGTTCCCCCATAGAAATGACTAACTCACTCTTTGCTCATGAGAAAGCAATATTGTGTATGTCATTTGTTAACCGGACAGTTATTATTCATTCAAGTTCCTGGGAGATTAGTTCTTTGAATTCTGAGACAGAGCTACTATATTGGTATATTACTGCATTGTTTTTGTTGTTCAGAATTCTTAATTTCTAATATTTCCCTCCGAGAAATTCAAATGGTTAAATACCAGGCCTCCCAACTGCTGTTTGCTCAAATAGACTTACTCTGCATGCACAGCCCATCAGTGCAGTTCTTGGATTGCAAGACGAGGCCATCACAGTCCTTGCCTCCGTTCTTGGGGGCTGGTGCCGTGCACTCCCTCCTGCGCCAGTGTGTGCACTCGGTCCCACAAGTAGACCACTTGCTCCATGAAGTCCACCTGCCATCCACTGTCACACACACACACACACACACACACACACACACACACAAAAACCAGCATAAGGTCAGAGGGAGAAGCAGCTGCTTGGGGGGAGAAGGGAGTAGAACTCAAGTATATAAAACGAAACAAAACAGAACAAAACAAAACAACAAAACAGAAAACTGAAGAAAATGTCCCATCAAGGAGTCCTGCATTCATGTCACCAGCTGGCAAGTAAGCACGCTCTACATGCATTGTCAGGGTTCTGAGAACTTTTCTTACTGGGTGTGTGACTGTTTCCTTACTGACCAAGCAAAGGAATGCTTAAAGGGACACACAGAAAGCAAAGTTGTCACCAGGAGCTGGTGAGGACTAGGAGGTACATAAAGGTAGATCATGATGGTGCCCTTTTCTCTATTAAAAGGGAAGCTTTTGGATTTTATATTGAAACTTAGGGGACGTCTTTTTGAACCCAAGATTTCTTTGCACATAGTGTCATGTGGTCAGTGCAAGTAAACCTGTGTAAGGATATGAAGAAGAGGTTGGTACAATGGGGAAGAAATATATATATTCACCCAATGACCAACCCATCCATCCATCCATCCATCCATCCATCCATTTATCCATCCATATCTATCTATCTATCTATCTATCCATCCATTCTCTATCCATGCCTTACTTTTTTTTTTTTTTAATTTTTTCATCCAGGCAGCTTGATGCTGTTCTGCAATGCTTTGCTGAAATGACTATATTATTTTCCACTTATTATTTGATGATTCCATTCCATTATTGATGATATATATATTTCTATTTCTATTTTACAAATAATATTTATACAGATTCCTAATTTTTTTGCTGTGACTCAGTCATTTATAACTGACTAACTTTCTTTCTAATTTTTGTGTCTGACTTGTCAGTAATTTCAATGATACTAAGCTATCTCTTTTAAAAATATACAACTTAAATCCTAGTTGAAAAAATACATAGTAAGTCTCACTAAAGTCACACTTAAAATTCATTCTTAAGAAATTCTTAAATAGGATAACAATATTGAAAAGTGGTTAAATAAAAAGTTTTCCTGAAATACATAAGTAATTATGATTATCTAGAATTCAATATGAAACAATGCCAAAAATCATTTATTGAACATCTAATATACATAATATCTTACACCTACATATTCATAGAAATTACATTAATTTTAATAGCTTACACAGTTTGGAAAATCTAGATGATTTCATATTCAAATTACTGTGTAAATATATTATATATAATGCGTATGGAGATATAAACATGCCCATATGAAAAAAAATGATGAAAGCATCAATATTTCAATTATACAGAGTTGGCTGTATAAGCAACTCCCAGCTATTTGGAGAAAATACATTTGCTTTGACCTAAACCAGCCCAAAGTTCACACACACACACACACACACACACACACTTCTATCTCAACTGAAAATACTCAGTGCATTTTTAATTGTGGAAGTCAATATCTAGATAAAATATAAGAGACTACAAGGTAAATATTGAAATTTTAAACCTAGCTAAGTGTCAAGATTTGTTACATTAATAAAATCTCTCAAAGGATTCAGTATGGGATACTGTTTGGATATTTGAGAGTGGACACTTGGGAGTATAAAATATAGATTATATTTTTCTACAGTTCATTTCTACAACCCATCTCTGAGAAAGTTTCTTTAAGGGATGAATAAGACAAAAGGTAGGCAAAATAAAGGGACGTAAGGAGATTGTTTCTAAATCATGAAGGCACAAAAAAAATAATAAAAGAAAAGACAAATAAATAATGAAATTGAAATATAACAGCTACCCAAGGAATGCACTAAATTTATGGATTATTTCAAAATAATTTTAGCTTAAGTTTTCAATATATCATATAATTAAACATTTTAGTTGATTTTGGTTTTGATTTTGGCAATATTAACTTTAATTTGCCTAAGGATAAGAGCTGGTGACAACATGAGACAGCATCAGAAGATGGTCAGAACCAGAGGGATGCAATCTTGCTATAGTTGCCACTGCAAATAACTCACAGAAATGCACAACCAACATGTACAGATAATAAAGAGCTGACTGCATTGTATTTTCAAAACCCATTAGCCCAGGTGTCACAAAGCTTTGTCTTCTTTTTAATTCATTCCAAATGTTTTATTTGTCCTTGCCCAGAAACTGACACCAAATATCAAATATCTCAGAATAAAACATATTCTAAATTTTCATTCCAATAATTTCCATGGCTGTCTAAAGATCAAGAGTTGTTATTCCTAAAATGTGTGGCTTTCAGGGCTCTCCAAATCCATTGAATTATAGAATCTATAATCTTGGCTCTAGCAGTTTTGTCCAGTAATAGAGAGGGATTATGTCCGTAAGTGTTTAATCTCATGTTTTATTCTATTTTGCATGTTTGGCTAATAAAGTTAAATACTGTTTGGGAGAAAAATACTCGATTTCTCAGCAGTGTAAGCATTCAATGGTATGATGGATATAAATAACATTTATCACATATTCAGGTGAATAAGGCTTTGTTTATATTTCCTAAAACAATCCGAAAATGGGAGGATACATTTGGAACGCAAGCACTGTCTTATTTACCTGGGCATAAGGTGGTACAGGCTATTTTCTGCACACTCTGCCCTTCACAGAAGGCACCACCATTGAGTGGTGCTGGGTTGGTGCAGGTCCTTGTGCGTTTCTGATACCCTCGTCCACAGCGGCTATTACACACAGACCACTCTGTCCAGGTGGACCAGCCACCATTTACTGGAAGAAGGTAAATATAAAATTGAATCATATGTGTGTTCATGCACACAGACACACAAACCATGCACAACACATAGACAAAAAGTCATCTGCTAAGTGACCATAAAACAATCTAAAATTTCAAAGATAGAAGAGACCTTGGGCATCATTTCATTCAGTTTTACTGCATAGCTGAGGAATCTAAGCATAGAGATAAATAAAATGAATTACCAAAATGTACTCACCTACTCAGAATTGTATATAGAACCGTGTTCTATTTTTCTTGGCTACTGTTCTTAAAAAAAATACATTCCTCTTACCTAGTCAAGCTTTAAAAATTATTTTTGACAGCTTATCTCAAATAATAAATGTTTACATCCTTATGCCAAGGTTGCAGGTGGCATCTGAAGCATGAGAGCTGAATAAAATCATGTAGCTTTTTCTTAATAGATGATTGATTATTTTTCTTTAGCACATGTAAACTTTACAGCCTTTTAAGGACTTTTGGTCAGTTTCATTAACGTGGTGAACCTCATTAAAAAATAAAGTCTTATATTGCTAGATTTTAAACTAATTGAGTAGCCATTTGATTGAATTGACATTTAGTTTATGTAATTGAAATGGACACCTATTCTGTGTGTAAAAGTCAATTATGGTGTTTGATGGAGAGTTCAGTGTATGATTATAAAACCTACATTCTACTGCTATGTTCACTATTTACCGCCGGAGATAGCCCTGTAGAAAATAATATATTTTAGGACTTCCATTATGTGAGTTTAGAGTACATTATTGTAATTAAGCATTTTCTAACAAAAATTATTTGCTGGTAGTTAAAACCTGACGTAACTAGTAGAAGTTAGAACATGACATAACTAGAACTCCTGATCATAAAGAGAGTGCTAGACACTCAGGCAGCACACAGTTTATATGTGCATATCACACGCCCGACATCTTCTCTGCTAGAAACCTATGCAAGGCAATGGGAAAAATTATGAATCTGTTATACATACATACACAGACAAAAGAATTTTCATGGCAGAGTTATTTTTCTATAAAGATAAATAATTGTAAACAACTGTAATGTTCAACAATAGGAAACGGGTAAATGTATGTTCATGTGACTGACATCTAGGCAGCCATTAAAACATGGTGCTCTAGAAGTCTATTTAATAATACATGAATATTTGAACATCACGTTTTAAGTAAAAAATATATTTATATCCCTTACTTAAAAAATCTTATCTATGCATAAAAATACCAGTAGTATGCATATCAATCTTTTTAAAAGCTATTTCTGGATGACAAGATGACAGGATTATTGGCATTTTCTTCTCTGACCTTTTCTGTGTTTGCTAAATTTTCTATAACAGATATATATTTGCCATCTCAAAATGATACTAACAAAAATAAATATATACAACACAGTCAAAAATGAAATACTCGTTAGATGTATACGTTTTGCTATAAACTTCTGGTGAGCCTAATCTATGAGCCTTGGACGACTTACTTTATGAGGCCATGAAAAGGACAAGCAGATGGCTGATAGGTTGTGTTTCAGTTAGTGTTCCAAAAAGCAACTTAACCTGCTCAGCTTTACAAAACCCAGTGTCATGGAATTGTCAGTGTAAACTGCTTACTAGCATACTGGCAAGCCAATATTTGGGGTTATAGTATCCATATACTGCTCTGGTAGGATTTTAATGAGAAACAGATAATGATAAGCTTCTAGAGAAAAAAAAACAAAAAGGAATGTGAAAGCCCTAGACTTATACCCTCATTATACAGACAAGGATATGAGGGTTCCTAGCATCCTGGTCAAGTGGCCAACTGAAGGTCAGTTACTAGAACTAGTCCTAGAGCACAAGTCTCCTGACCCCTAGGGTCCAATGATGTTTTTTGAACTCAAAGTGCCTAAGTTCCATCTGTTTGATTCTTTCTAAAAACCATGTTCAGCTTGCATTTGTAGATATTGAAAGCATGTTATATATAGGGGAAGAGATCTGCATGTATATTAAACATCTATATAACACATAGAGAGACAGTCCATCATCATTAGTTATCTATGATTGCTACGTGCTGTGATGTGCTCCATTATCTTTTGCACTTTAAATACTGTTAATCAAGTTGTTCAGCCAGTTTAGAAAAAGACAAAAAGTAGGAATCCTTTCATTGTGACTGAAGAGAGGCAACTACCTACAATTTAACATAGCCATTATCTTGACGAGGAAATTAAATCTCAGAGTATCCAGAGGATTAAAAAATTGTATGTATCTGTCTTGGAATAAAAAGGAAAGATTTAAAGTGTCACAATATATAGCCTTTGGGGCCTCACGTGGTTTCTGTTTCTCCTAACTCCCCACAGCATGAGGACCCATCCAAATGGCAGTATCTACACTAAGTACCACCAGCCAGATACCTGCCAAGGGTTGCCCCTCCTTTGCAGTCACCCAGACACGAAGGTCCCTGGAATGTCCTTTCACACTGACGCAGCCCTGAAAAGCTTCCTTAAGTTCCAAGTGGTGGTGAGACACAGGCATCTCATTTAAGAGGGGGCATACCCTCAAAATACTTCCCAGGGTTGTTTGGTTTCCTCTGACACAATAAATCACCCAGAATGTGAGGACCTACTGTCTGCCCAACACTGTGAGAAATACATAAATACACAGAGCAGTCTCTTGGTCTATAGTGGAGCTTAACACACAGCTGGGGAGATGAAACTCCTCATAAAATGACTGGAAGACAACTGAGTGCTATACCACAAAGAGATAAAAGCATCAGACGCTACAGCAAAATTGGGTGTGAAACTGTTGAGTATTTCTGGAGAAATATTAGGTCAGATTGGATATGAGCTGGACTAGAAAGGGCCAGAGAGTGGAAGGGAGGCTTCCCGAAGAAATCATTATGTTGAACTTGCTGTGTGGTTAGGATTAGGGCCACCGCATAGCAGTGCTCACCTTCACTCTAACTACCTGCCCCCCCCCCCCCCCCCCCCCAGTGTGTAAAGCAAGTTCCAGGAAGTCAACGTTGTTCTCTGATGTATCTGGGGAACAGGTCAGCCACAATTTACCTGACTAAGCCAAAGCCCACAGAATTGTCAGCAGGCTGACTTAACCATCTTCATCTCCAAACTCACTCTAGATCTGGGTGGTCCAGGGTATGGAGGAGGGGGGCACGCTTAGATGGGTGAGCATCTTCCGGCTCTGGTGCAGGCACTCAGGTGGATTTCCTTCACTTTTCCATAAGCTGACTGACCAAGGGCTAGGAATTTCCAAGTTTGGTCTTTCTATGCCTATCAGGGAAGCAGTTAAACCTCACTGCTGAAGCTGCAAGCTGGCAATAGGGATTGAAAATGGGTGATGGGCACTGAGGAGGGCACTTGTTGGGATGAGCACTGGGTGTAGTATGTAAGCAATGAATCACCGGAATCTGCTCCCGAAGTTAAGAGCACACTGTATACACCATATGTTAGCTAACTTGACAATAAATTATGTTAAAAAAAAAAAAAAAAGAAAAGAGAAGGGGCCTCTCGCTTGATAGTTTAAATTAAAACGAGAAACTGTAGTTTGACATGGACTAGATTGAGACTCCACCAGCTCACTCACCGTAGACTATGACAGTTGCAGTCGTGCTTTTCCTTTTGGCAACAATGTTTTTGGCAACACAAGTATAGTTTGCAGTATCTGAGAGGCGGGCCTGCTTTATGATGAGGTTGTGATCAATAGTAATATAAAAATTCCGATCTTCAACGGGGTCAATTATGTCTTCATTTTTCAACCACTCCACCTAAAGATGCACAAGAGAAATAGGTAAGTACCCAGTACGGATCCCTCGATGGCTGTCTGTCCTAACCTGTGTTTTATAATTTGTATGACATTGCTCTGTGCTAGGAACTTCAGCAATCCGGGAGGAAGTAACTTTCTGAGGTCATGTGAGGTATCACTCACCTGCCAAACATGCTGATTCTGTCTGTACTACATTATTCTCAAATGTCAATGAACCAGTTGGGAAATACAATGTTCAAATTGTTTTCACTTTGCCCCGCAGGCAAGAACAGGGAATGTGCACTGCCAAGTTCAGAACCCAATCAAAAATAATAGGCTAAGCATTTCAAACGGAACTCAAACCTTTTGCTATTTGATTTGTTTACTCTTGGCAACTAACTTGCTGCTTTTCACAAAAGAATGTAAAGACTATTAAAAAAGCTCAAAAGGCATCTTCGACATCATGTAGCTCTAATAAACCAACATTTGGATGATTTACGTGTAACCTTGCTGAAACATATGGATTGAATTTCCCCGAAAATGCACTTACTTTAAATGGAGCAAACACATATTTGGAGATGCATTTAAGCCAAAATACTTGAGGAAGAAAAGGTTTTGTACCAACCTTCAATATAATCCAAAGAGCGTATACATCATACTCAAAACTCTCCTTTTCTGTATCACTAACATCAAATCTTTGACTCATGGTTTGCTTCTGGGGAACCTGACCTAAGACATGACTGTTCAGAACTACTGGACTATTTTTTCCATGAAAATCATATCAGTTTAGCAAAAGCAATATTATGCTTACAGAATGAAAGAAGGGAGATATATCTGTATAAACTGTCCTTATTATGGAGGACGAACTATTTCTTGTTCTATAAATTGCTGCTGCTGCTGTTTTTGTTTTTTTCTATGCACAGGATTTTCCATAAAGCAAAACAACACTGATATTTGCCACCCTTAAACTTTTCTTTTGCATCCTTGTGGATATGGATATAAGTAATCTTTAGTGGTAGAGAGTCAATAGTGTTGCCATTTTCAAAATCTTAAAGAGTATCTCCAGCACCACAAGAGGTCTGGAAATTAATCTCTAAATCTGTCAGTGGGCTTGACTTTGCACAGCTCTAAATTACATCCAACAGAGGGACTCTAAAATAATGCTCCTCTAATCCTTAGGAAAGAGACCACAATTTAAAGGGAAAAACGTTTAAAAACCAACAACAATCCTGAAATAAACATTTGAGGATGTAGATAAGAGCAACTATTTGTGGTGATATAAATTTTGAAAGGGCAAAGCCCTCTTGGTATTTATACTATGGTAGTGAGAAATAGAATCAAATCCATCTAAAACAGTGGAGTTTTAAAACATGCATTTTGTTTTCACATACAGAGACCACATTCAGTCAGGGCCATGCTTGGATATATCTGATCTGAACCTCACACTCTTCTTGACTCGGATTTTCTCAAAATATGGCCCTATGTGTGTGGTAGTTTGAGCTCACTAGAAGTGCAAGAGGGAAGGTAGCAAAATTCATATAATTATTAATTATCATTGATCATTGAAAGCAGACATTAACTTTCTAATCTAATCTTTATCTATGCCATTCTAGAGAAAGCTTTCCACTTATAGAAGGCACTGTTGGGATCCCCTGAGTTGGTCTTGGATCCCTCCTGAGAGAGAGAGAGAGAGAGAGAGAGAGAGAGAGAGAGAGAGAGACAGCGAGCGAGCATGCTCTTCATGCTTTTCTTCCAAGGACCCATAATTGCACTTTCTTTGAAAGATGGCTCTGACATTCGTGGACTCTGAAAGTGCCTAGGGATTCACAGCACCCCCCTCCCCTGCCCTGTCCCACAACCTCCACCTTAGCCATTGTCTCACAGATGTGGAAATATGCTTTGTGTCCAATTGGGGTCAGAATCTGAGCTGCCACCTTCCAGAGTTCCCCTGTAAAGTTAGGCTGAAGCTGTCCCCTTGAGATGTCGCCTGCCATCTCTATACATACTTACTGGGCTTCATTTTCTCTCCTGGTGGCTCCACCCAGCTATAAGGTTCTCTCTTCTATGAATGCCCCATTAAAAAAAAACCAAAACCCTCTGCATTCAAATCTTGGTCTCATGGTTTGCTTCTGAAGATTCCAACTATTGTCACAGGAGAACCCATGACTGTTCAAAACTATGGTTTCTTCTGTTTAAATCACACCAGTTAACAACAGTGAGGTTACCCTGATCATAAGTGACATAAAGAGATCCCAAGGGACATTGAAAACTACTTGTATTTTTGAAAGTTTATTACATGGAAGAAAAAGAGCAATCTGCACAGTTGACAAGATCTAAGAAGACTTCTGTGATTACTGGGTGAACCATCTTTACCTGCAAATATATCACTCTGCATTTTTCTCAAGTCTCTTGCCAGTGCTGGAACAGTGAGTATGACCTGGGTTTTGATGACCCCTGAGGAACCCCAGACATACTGGAGAGGCCCCCAGGGCCCTGTGGAGGTTACTGCCTTCCTCCCCAACTCTGGATTTAACCAGAGAAGCTCTGCTTTGATCTGTTTTACTATTTTCCAGACTGGGCTCACTTGTAATGCCTAGTTTAAAGAAACAGAGAGTTCACTCCTGCTAGAAAATAGCTGTAGAAATGGAAAGGTGAGCCATGGGCTCCTCCGGCTTCCGGTAACTTGCCTACCCTCCTGTTCCCTACATTCCAGTACTCGCAGCTGCCGCAATGTCCTGCTTTGAGACCACATCTCTACAGGAAGCTCAGGTCATCACCTCCGGCACTGGAATCCTCATGCTGCCCTGCATATCCCCATCTCCCACCCTGAAAAAATATCGACCCCCTATCACGCTGCTTTGCAATGCAGAAGCAAAATTCTCCAAAATTTCAAACTCTGTTTAGATTATTTTCTCTACTTTTCTCTAAAACTTAGCTCTTTATGATGCTTCTGTTTTGCTTTTTTTTTTTTTTTTTTTCCTGCAGTTCTCTCAAGTGGTGGATGTTTGATTTCCTAAACCCAACACACACGGGGCCTGGGAATCAGAAAGTGCCCTCCTTGTTCTGCACTGTCTTTTCTAGACCATTCTCTCCAAACACCATTGCTTTGAATTTCATGCCATCAGATTATGTCACCCACCTTCTATATTTTTTGTGGTCATTTAAAGACCTCTGGGCTCACAGTCATTTTATGCAGCACAATTTTTCTGTCACAATTTCTAATGATTTTAATAACCACAAACACTTTCAACATTTTGGCCTCTCAATTACATGACCCTCCTTCCTGCCACAGTCTTGGTCTCTAAGACACCCACACTTATAGGCCAGAGACTTTCAATCCTGGTTTCACTGTAGAGTAATTTGGACATTCATAATATATCAATTTTACATCCAATCCAGAGAAATTAAATCTGACCCAGAGCAACTCTGATTCACTGGTCAAGACTGGTCTAGCATCTGTATTTTTGAGACTCCTCAAGGGGCTGTGATTTCCTGCTAGGGTTGAGGAATACCACTCTAGAAGATTGTCTTTCAGATGAAATCCCTGGACAAGAAGCACTCAGGTCACCTGGGAGGCTGACAGAAATGCAGAATCTCAGGTCTGCCTACCCAGACTTACTGAGTCAAAATGTGCACGTGAATAAGAAATTCAAGGATTTATATGCACATTAAAGTCAGAGAACCGCTGGCCAGCTCTTGTCCTTACCACTGATTATTAACTGCAAGCCTTCTAAAACTCCAATGCAGTTTCTTTTACCATATTCTCCATCTTTCTGACTTATTCCCTCTCAGACTCCTATTTTGACAAACTTTCACTGGGCCCTACAACCTATCTTGGCTGTCATCCCTCTCACGTTCCCTCCCCTCTCTTCACCACTTTTAAATCCAACTGTTTACCTTATCAACAATCCCTTGCATTAGGAGCTCAGCTCCCCCACCCCTCTCCTTTTCTAAGGTGTTCACTCGGCCGCTCTTCCCGACACCACGTTCACAGACTTGCAGAGGAATATGGCCGCGCACAGCCACATTGAGTGGGCTCATGTGAAATTCATGATAACAGAACTCAAACGGGCCCTTAATTCTGCCAAAAAATCGTACTATATTTTCATCATCTGTTCACTGTCCCATCCTCCTAGACAGCTATTTCACACCTTCTCCACTCTCTTTAAACACCACCTCCCTCTCTATCCTCACTTTCAGCTGATGACCACGATTTCTACTTCACTGAAAAAAGTGACAAGCACGAGACAGCTTCCACAGCTCCCACTACTCACCACCCCACCCCTGTTCTGCACCCTCTCTCTTGTTACTGGGTCAGCTCTCTGTCCCACCTGTCACCTCTCATTTGTACTGTGCCTCCCATTCCCTCGTGCCTGGTCAAGGGCAGGCCCCAGCAATTCTCCTCTCTGTCTCTTAAATCATTAATATTCCCTCTACAGGAGCCATCTCCATCAGCATACAGACATACACTTAGAACCCTCCCCACTCGTTTCTGCCTGGGGTCACCCCATGTCTTTGCTCACCTTACAAAACGCCTTGGAATACTTGCTTATAATCACTCTCTTCATTTCCTGTCCTCTTCATCTCTGCTGTTATGTATTCTAATGCGCATTCGCCTCTACCATTTTGCAGGTACTACTCTCTTCAAAGTCACCAATTACTTTCATTTTGTTAGATATACTGGTGAGGTGACTCAGCAGCAGGTTTGACCCAACTGGTTTCTCCCTCTTCCTCACTTGCTTTCTTGGCCAGGGCACTTTTCCTGGTTTTTGTCTTATCTCACTCCATCCCTCAGAGCTTCCTGGAGCGAAGGTCTGTTCCCTTGTGGAGGCTCTGTCCTTGGATCCCTTCTTTTTTTCTGTCTTCTATCTACATTCACTTCCTTGGTGAGCTCATCCAGTCTCATGCAGAGGTCTTCTAAATTTATCTCCAGTCTAGACCCTGGCCTTGAACTCCAGACTCATATATCCAAATGACTTCTTTCAACTGCACTGGGTTGTCTAATAACAACCTCCTGAACTG